GGGGGGTGTCCCGAGGGTCCCTCAGCGCTGCTGTCCCCGTCCCTGTCCCCGTCCCTGTCCCCGTCCTTGCTGCAGCCGCCGGCTCAGGTCGTCGATCCGCAGGTTCTTGAGGAGCAGGAGCTGCTCCAGCCGCTCCACCTTCGCCTGCAGGATCTGGGGGAACCCCCCCGCGGGGTTTGGGGGGGGTCGGGGGAGGCACCTCCACCCGCCCCACACCCATCCCGGGGGGTGTGTCTGGGACAGGGGACTGGGAACGCTGGGACAGGGAATGTGGGGACAGGGAATGCGGGGACAGGGAGGTTTCACCTTCACTGGGGGGGACACCGAGGCAGGGGAGGGGCAGAGGCAGATTTGGGGTCCCAATCGCAGCCCCCACAACCCACATCGAAATAACCCTTCCCCCCCCGAACAGGATTCCCAGCCCCTCCCAGGCCCTGGGGATAACTTGTCCCCACTCCAGACATCCCACAGAATTCCTGCTCCACCCTCCCCCCAACATTTTACATCTCGGATGTTTTCCAGCGGAAAAAAACCCCGATTTTAGGCAGTTTTAGGGGTGAAGCCGCTCCCAAACCCACCCGGGGGGGATTCCCGGAGCCCCGGGATGAGGCCGCGGGGAGGGGACTGTGGGTGCGCTGGGCACGGGGAACGAGGGCAGGGCGAGGGATGGAAAGGGAAAAGCTGCTCCCGGAGGGGAGCGATCCGCAGGGAGAGGCTTTCCGAGGGATTTTCACGGGATAAACGCCGGGAAAACGCCGTCTGGCGCGGCGGGAGGAGGGGTCACACCGGGCTGGCCATGCCCCCCCGTGTCCATCCCCGTCCCGCCGGGATCGGCCCCGCTTGGATCGGCTCACCTGGATGGTCTCCCGTGCCAGGCGCAGCGCCTGCTCCTGCTCCACCAGCTGCAGGCGCACGGCAGCGTCCCCCGGGACCCCCCCGGGGGGCTTCGGCACCCCCCTGGGGCAGGACGGGCCGTGTGGGGACAGGCACCGACCCCTCCTGTGGCCCCCGGGACTGCACGGGCTGGGGATGGGGGTCCCCACGTCCTGCTCCCCCCTCCCCGTGGCTCAGCACTCCCCTGAACACCACGGGGACCCCCAGGGACACATGGGGACACCCAGATTCCCACGGGGACCCCCAAGTTGTATGGAGACCCCCTGACCCATACAGGGATCCCCTGACCCCCACGGGGACCCCCAGGGACACAGGGGGACACCCAGATTCCCACGGGGACCCCCTGACCCCCACGGGGACCCCCAGGGACACACAGGGACACCCAGATTCCCACGGGGACCCCTGAGTTGTATGGAGACCCCCTGACCCACACAGGGATCCCCTGACCCCCATGGGGACCCTTGGGGCTACATGGGGACCCCCTGATCCTTATAGGGACTCCCCTGACCCTCATGGGGACCCCCAGGGCCAAACCGGGACCCCCTGACCCCCATAGGGACCCCCAGAGCTGGATGGAGACCCTCTGATCCACACAGGAATCCCCTGACCCCCACGAGGATCCCAAGGGACACATGGGGACCCCCAGACCCCCACGGGAACCCCCCAGGTGCCATGGGGACCCCCAGGGCTGCATGGAGACCCCCTGATCCACACAGGGATCCCCTGACCCCCATGGGGACTCTTGGGGCCACATGGGGACCCCCTGATCCTTATAGGGACTCCCCTGACCCCCACGGGGACCCCCAGGGCCACATGGGGCTCCGAGAGACACACCTGGACCCCCAGAACCACATGGGGACCCCTTGGCCCCCACAGTGACTCTCAAATCCCCACAGGGACCCCCAAAGCCACATGGGTCCCCCAGAGCCCCACAGGCACCCTCTGACCCCCATGGGGCCACTCAGAGCCCCACAGAGACCACCCAAACCCCACAAGGACCCCCCAGACCCTCACAGGGACCCTCAGAACCCCCCCGGGGACCCCCTGACCCACGGAGTGACCCCCAGAGCCCCAGGAGGGGCACGTCCCCTGCCCAGCCCTTACCTGGCAGCCCCCTCCCAGGAGCAGCCCCCTCCCACGTCGCTCCCGCCCTTGGAATGGCCTGGAAAACCCAGCAGGGAGTTTGTCACCCACCCAAACACCTCCGTCCCCTCCCCTGCCCCCCTCAGGGCTCCCGGGGGTACTTTTGGGGTGTCTCAGGGCTGATTTGGGACCCCCTCTCCTGCAGCCCTACCTGTGTCCAGGTATCCGCCCTCCTCTGGCTCTGCCGGAGCTCCCGGGGGCTGCAGGGAGACGGGAAAACTGGGAGAGGTGGGAAAATACCCGGCACACCTGGCCGGGAGCTGGGGGGGACCTGGGGACACCCAACCCCTGCCATGGGCTGGGACACCTCCCACTGTCCCAGGTGGCTCCAGCCTGGCCTTGGACACTTCCAGGGATCCAGGGGCAGCCACAGCTTCTCTGGGAATTCCATCCCAGCGCCTCCCCACCCTCACAGCCAACAATTCCTTCCCAATATCCCAAATAAATCCCCATTTCTCCAATCTGAAGCCATTCCCTGTGTCCTGTCCCTCCCTGCCTTGTCCCCAGTCCCTCTCCAGCTCTCCTGGAGCCCCTTCAGGCCCTGCAAGGGGCTCTCAGCTCTCCCTGGAGCCTTCTCTTCTCCAGGGGAACCCCCCCAGCTCTCCCAGCCTGGCTCCAGGGCAGAGGGGCTCCAGAATCCTGGAATGTCTTTGGTTGAAAGGGATCTTAAATCCCATTGATTCCACCCTCTGCCCTGGGCAGGGACACCTCCCACTATCCCAGGTTGCTCCAACCTGGCCTGGGACACTCCCAGGGGTGGCAGGAGGTGGCCCAGGACCCCCTGGTGTCCCCCACCCCCTGGCAGTGCCCACCTGCCCGGTCCCGGCCGTGCCGTGGCTCCGTCCCTGGCGCTCCTGGATCCTGTCCCGCAGCAGCAGCAGCAGCTGCTCCGCCCTCCCCGGCCGGCTCTGCACCAGCTCCCGGATCAGCTCCTCCGGCACCCGCAAATTCAGCTTACTCAGCACCTTCCTGAGCCGGGGGGGCAAAGAAACACCGGGGGGGGCAGAGGGGGCAAAGAGGGAGGAGGAGGTAGGTACTTGGTTGCCTAAAATTGGAGAAATAATTCTCTACACTGTTTTTGATATGTTATATGTAATGTAGGTTATATAGAATAAAGATTATCTATTTTATATATATATTATATATATAATTTATGATATAAAGAAAATATGTGATATAAATAAAATATATCATATAAATAAAATATATATTTATATATTATATTATATTACATTATATTATATTTTATATCATATTATATTATATTTATATATATTTATAATATATTCATATTATAACGCAGTATGTTGTATAATATTATACAACATTGTACAGTATATATTAACATAACATAATATATAATATACGATATTAATATATAACAGATATAGTGTATTATAGATGTTAATACACAAACTATATTACTAATACTAATACATAGATTATATATTATATTTTAGATATTTTACATTGTTATATAATATAGAATATATTTATGTTGATATTTGATTTTATAGATTATATTTTATATATATTATATGTAATGTAGGTTATATAGAATATAGATAATTTATTTTATATATATAATGTAAATAAAGTATATGATGCAGATAAAATAGATATTATAATATAACAATGTTATAATGCAGTATGTTGTATAATATTATACAACATTGTATCATATATTAACACAACATAATATATAATATAAGATATTAATATGAGATATAGTGTATTATAGATGTTAACACACAATATATTAATATTCCCTTAAATCTTCATTCGCAAAGCCTAGCCATGATGATATTAATATTAATACATATATTATATATTATATTTTAGATATTTTATATCGTTATATAATATAGAATATATTTATGTTGATATTTGATCTTATAGATTATATATGTAATGTAGGTTCTATAGAATATAGATAATTTATTTTATATATATTATATAAATAAAGTATATTATACAGATAAAATAGATATTATAATATATTAATATTATAATGTAGTATGTTGTATATTATACAACATTGTATCATATATTAACACAGCATAATATATAATCTAAGATATTAATATAAAAGAGATATAGTGTATTATAGATGTTAATAGACAATATAATATATTAACATTAATACATATATTATATTTTAGATGTTTTATATTGTTATATTATATAGAATATATTTATATTGATATTTTATTTTATATATATTATATATTATATATTATATATTATATTTTATATATATTATATATTAGTTTATATAGATTATCTATACTATTTATAATATAGATTTCAAGGCAATTACCCTCTGCCCAGAGCCCCCAGGGTGGGACACTGAGGGGGCGGGCACAGAGCTCCCAGGGCGAGGGGGAGCAGAGGGACCCTCAGAGGGCACCGGGGGGGCACCGGGCTGTGGTTCGGGGGGTGCCCCGGCCGTACCTGTTGAGGTGCCCCCAGTTGGCGAGTTTCTGGGCGGTGGAGCTGGCGGGGACGAAGCTGTGCAGCTCCACCATGGCGGGGAAGAAGAACTTCACCACCTCGGCCGCGAGCACTGCGGGGGCACAGCGGGTAGGGCTGGGGGGAGCGGCGGCACCCGGGACCCCCCCCGCCCTGCCCGGAGCCGGAGCACCCCGGGGCACCCCCGGCCCCTCACCCCCGGCCCACCCCCGTCGCTGAAGTCGCGGGCGATGTTCCTGCGGGGCCGGGACAGCGGCACCGTGTCCAGCCAGCGGTACAGGGCCGCAAGCGCCGGGGCCGGGGCCGCGTCCGCCATGAGCGGCCGGGAGGCGTCCCGCTGCCATGGCAACGGGGGCGGGGCTAAACCGCAGCGTCCTGCTGCCATGGCAACGGAGGCGGGGCCAAACCACAGCGTCCTGCTGCCATGGCAACGGGGGCGGGGCCAAACCACAGCGTCCTGCTGCCATGGCAACGGGGGAGGGGCCAAACCAGAGCGTCCTGCTGCCATGGCAACGGGGGCGGGGTCAAACCAGAGTGTCCTGCTGCCATGGTAACGGGGGCGGGGCCAAACGGGGACAGGGCCAACCCAGAGCGTCCTGCTACCGTGGCAACGGGGGCGGGGCCAAGCAGAGCATCTTGCTGCCATGGCAACGGGGGTGGGGCCATACCGGAGCATCCCGCTGTCATGGCAACGGGGGTGGGGCCAAACCGGAGCGTCCTGCTGCCATGGCAACAGGGGCGGGACCAAAATCGGAGCATGTTGCTGCCATGGCAACAGGGGCGAGGCCAATCCGGAGCGTCCTGCTGCCATGGCAACGGGGGCGGGGCCAACCCAGAGCATCTTGCTGCCATGGCAACGGAGGCGGGGCCAAAACCGGAGCATCTTGCTGCCATGGCAACGGGGGGGGGGGCCAATCGGGAGCAGCCTGCTGCCATGGCAACAGGGGCGGGGCTAAACCATAGCACCCTGCTACCATGGCAACATGGGTGGGGGCTGCCCAAAGCATCACTGCTACCATGGCAACCAGGAGGGCTCCATGGGAGCATCCTGCTGTTGTAGCAACAGAGATGGGGCCTGCCTGGAGCATCCCGGTTGCCATGGCAACAGGGGCGTGTCCTAATGGGAGGGCATTCCCGTTGCCATGGCAACAGAGGCGGAGCAAGCCTGGCGTGTGCCCACATGGGGGGGCGATATGGAGGCCCCGGGGGGGGGGGGGATTTGGGGGTCCTGAGCAGTTGGGTCACAGGGGGGTCCTGAGCAAAGGGGGGCCCAGGAGCACAGTGAGGGGGTCCTGAGCTCTGGGGAGGCCCTGATGGAGCACATGAAAGGGGGGCTCTGTGGGTGCTGAGACCCCAGAAAGGGGGTCTCTGGGCAAGGGGGAACTCGGGGTGGGGGTTTGGGGCAGGTCAAAGAGGGCCACAATCAGTGGGGGACCCTGAGACCCCCCCAGCAAGGAGGACCCAGAGCAAGCGGGGGTCCCTCTGGGAGGGTGGAGCACCCCAAGAGGGTCCTGTGGGGGACCTCGACGTGGTGGAGGGTTGGAGATCCCACAGGGGTGGGATGTGGACACTCCACAGGGGATATGGACACAATGGATGGAAAATGGACACCCTACATGGGATATGGACACCAGGGATGGGACATGGACACCAGGGATCGGATATGGACCCGGGGGATAGGATATGGACATCAGGGATGGGATATCGGCACAATGGATGGAATATGGACACCCCACATGGGATATGGACACCAGGGATGGAATATGGACACTGAGGATGAGATATGGACACCAGGGATGGAATGTGGACACCACACATGGGATATGGACACCAGGGATGGAATGTGGACACTGAGGATGTGATATGGACACCAGAGATTGGATACGGACACCAGGGATGGAATATGGACACCCAACATGGGATATGGACACCAGGGATGGAATGTGGACACCCCACATGGGACATGGACACCAGGGATGGGACATGGACACCAAGGATGAGATATGGACACCAGAGACTGGATACGGACATCATGGATGGAATATGGACATCATGGATGGGATATCAGCACAATGGATGGACTATGGACACCCCACATGGGATACGGACACCAGGGATGGAATATGGACACTGAGGATGAGATATGGACACCAGAGATCGGATATGGACATCATGGATGGGATATCAGCACAATGGATGGAATATGGACACCTTACATGGGATATGGACACAATGGATGGAATATGGACACCCCACACGGGATATGGACACCAGGGATGGGACATGGACACCGAGGATGTGATATGGACACCAGGGATTGGATATGGACACGGAGGATGGGATATGGACATCATGGATGGGATGTTGACACAGTGGATGGAATATGGACACCTCACATGGGATATGGACACCAGGGCTGGAGTCTGATGGGATCTGGATGCTGGGGATGGGATATGGACCCCAGGGGGTCGGGGTTTCACCCCCTCTTTCTCAGCCTGAAAACACGTTTATTTTCACCCAAACTGAGTCAAATTCCGCTGTTGGACCCCAACCCCTTCCCAGAACCTCCCCGGCAGCCACTGGAGCAGAGAAGCAAACCAGGAATTAGGGGGTGGTGACATTCCTTTGCCCCCCTCCCTCCCCGTTTCCTCCCCACTGTGGGGGTGTTTCAGAGTGGGGACGTTTCGCTCCTGGAGCTGCAGCCTCACCCCAACCCTCTGCTGTGCCCATGTGGCACATGAGCCGTGTTCCCCCCATATTTCCCCCATCCCAGCCATGTCCCCTTCCCTGGCCCCGCTGCCCCTGCACCCCTTAATGTCCCCCCCTCAAGAGACATAACCCCTCCATGTGCCCCCTGTGAGAAAAATCTCATTTATTGAATTTAGAAAGACGGCAAAAGTTTGCAAAACAAAAGGAATAAAACGAAAAGGAAAAATTACAACACGTGTTGGGTGTCCTAGGCACGCAGGATTCCCAGGAACACCCCCTTCAATTCAAAAGTCCCGCTTTTTAAACATTCTTAAGGTTCAACCCCGTTT